TCTTCTAAAGCACCCATGATCTCAGCGTACATCTGATTTATTTTATTTGTTCTTTCCTCTTCGTTTTCAATTTGAATTTCATCACCATGAGTACCAACAAGGATAATTGCTGGAGGTGAAAACGATAAATCATTCCCTAATATGCAATCCTCTTCTCGTAACGTATGTAAATGTATGGACTGAAGCCAAGTCGTCATCTTATCCAAATACGTATAGATATCGTGACTACCGTCTCTTTTTTCAATCATTTCTTCTATATGCTTGGCTGCATTAAAAACGAGGATATAGATAGAGCTACGTGATGATAACTTGGTTGTATAGTATTCAAAGCTATCGCTGAAATCCCAAAATTTCAATTGCATTCCACTTTCCTCTTTTGTCAAGGGTGGTGTTTTACATCGATCGTTATTTCCTCGGCTATTACTGCGAATATTGCCTTGCAATGAATATTTTCTTTCACGAGGTTCAGATGGCATCTCATGGGCACTTGTACTCCTATGTTTCTTTGATTTCGATTTAGTTTGCAATGAACGACTTCGAGATCTTTGCTCATCACTTTGTTTTGCATTGCTCTTTTGTTTATCACTAGCTTGTTGTAATGTGGCTCGTAATTTTTCTGCCATACCTTTTCTTAAAACAGTTTTCAACAGACCTTTTCCTCCACTTATCCCAGCTTCAATAAAGAGATGACCAGAATTTGCATCATTCTTCACACCCTGTTGAGTCTGTGATTTATCTGATTTATGTGAAATATTCTTATTATTTTTATCTTCATCACTATGATTTTGTATCTGATTTCCTGAGTGCATCGTATCGCCATTTTCAATTACACCGTTTCTTTTGCCTGCAGCCATAACAACTTCTTCATCTGTGGAAATGATTAAATATGGGTGATTTGTAAGAAATTGCTTGTTTGAAAATATTTACTGAGCATGAAAAGTAACAGTAATATTGCTGCAAATAGGATGTTATTAACTGTAAATAGTATTTTCATGATTAAATCATTCGCCAGATCATATTGAAGGTAACTTTAAGTTTTATTTTAATGTAAAGCGCAGCTGTAAATATCAAAATAACCTAACATGACCGATAAATTTCCTTAACATCATAATTTACCATGTTATTTCAAAATTACCTGAATCAGTATTGTACCCGCTTCCGGTACTAACGTCTCGCTCAACATCATAGCGGCAACCTTCCTTAATATTTCCATCAGCGTCCCAATCTGAGCTGTCTACACTTCTAGAAGTATCAATGTCGATTGTTGGTAACTGGTCTGTTTTTGTTTCCTCACCAATGAGTGATTTCAGCAATGATGTTTTTCCAACGTTTTCCACTCCAAAAATGAGAACTCGCACAACATCCATGGTACTAGTACCATATTTGCATGCTTTTTCATACGTTGCAATAACGTTTTTCCCTTTCTGCAAGATTTCCAAGGGAACTAAAAATACATTTAGAAGAAATAGATTATTTCTCGAGCAGAATGGATGGAATAACGATCAATGTTAATTGAATTGCATTTTTTAACAACCAAATTTTATCTATGAACGTTAGATGCATTAGAAGCTGTATTCTGACAGCTAAAAAAGTATCGTAGCTAGACTATAGCTGATATTGTACCTTGATACTATTACTGCGTCTGCTAATGGACTAGTTGAAAGTAAATTGGACTGCAGCGTCTCGTTGCCATCACTTGTAAGATTCATAAAGTGTAATGTTTTAAGAATGGTTTCGTCTATGGATTGTCTATCTATACGTATTTTTTATTACTATTCCAACCTCAAGTTTACAGATTTACAAGCAATATCTAATTGTAGTATGTAAATTGTCTGTACAACCTTAATTTTCGATCAATATTAGAAAATGCTGCAGCCTCAAACTTTTCTTCAGTAATTATGTCATTCATCAACGTAAGCAGTATGCTACTTTCAATTTATCGACTTTAATATTACAACTATAGTCAAATTATTGATCAACAATATCAGGTAAAGGTTGGACAATTTTGAAATTGATTTACCTTCTGATTTAATCCTGGTCTTGGCTTTTTGCTGCATGTAAGTAAAGTAAATATCACAGTATGGATGGAAATGCGCATTAATAACACCAGCCAACCCGGAATAATTCATTGCTGCTAATCTATGGTTGACTTCTCCACCACCTAAACCTTGGTCATAAATTTTTCCCATATAATAACTGCAATAATTACGAAATAAATCTGGTTGATTAGGATCAACGCAAAGAACTTCATCGAAATTATAATAGGATTTAGCTAAACTGCGGTATTGTCCATGATCAGGATTAGAATAAAATTTACCCAGTCGATAGTAAGCATATGCAAATTGTAATACTTTATTCGTTGAAATGTGGGTTGTTAAAGCTCGTCTATAGCATTCTTCAGCTAAAGTTAAATTGTCACAATCAATTTTTTCTCCTTCGATCATTTTACCAATACGACATAACGATAGTAGAGAATATCCGCGTGAAATACCATAGAAATGGACGAAATGATCTTGGTCATTATAACAAAATTTCTCTATTAGTTCATAACTTAAGCGATAAAATGAAGCTGCTTTCTCATCTTGATTTGTTATACCTAAGCCACGTTCATAAAAAAATGCTAGTAGAAAGTAGTGATAGGGTGTTAAGTAATCAAATTTGTCAAAGCTACCGTTGAAGCAACGAACTGGTGTTGGTGATTGATATCCAGCAATGCCATAAATATTATGCTCCAGCAAATCTTGACTTAATTCTTGATGCTGTGTTTGATCAATAATATTGGGAAAATAAACTATATTTGGCGCTAGTAACATTTCTTCTAAACTATCTAGAGCCCTTTTCTTATCCCTTGTAATACCAACTCCGCGAAAGTAACATGTAGCCAGTAGTAATAGAATTTGTTTATAACCATAATTACATAGACTTTCTAAATAGGTTGATAGTACACTTAATGAGATACCAGCGAATAAATAGCGATAGGGATATTTGCTATCACCACGAATAATAATTTCATATTGCGCCATAGGATGACCACCGCTTGCTGCACGTTTTAAATAAGTAAAGGCTACTGTACGATTTTCTTCCACTTGGCAAGGAAATTGTATGGCGTGATAATTGGCTTCGGGTGATAAAATTAGTTGAGTATCTTGACAATATAAATAGCGTAAATAATAAAATCCAGCAGGACACCCATTTTCACCAGCTTTAATTAAGCATTCGATAGTCACTGCTGGTAGTATCTTTTTAATATCATCGTAATGATCTGTCCAATCTCGATCGATATTACCATCGTGTAATTCACGGGCAATTTTCGACATTTTCAATCGTATAGCTACTCTTTTAGCGAACCCTTCGTCATCGACATCAGTATAAAGTAGTAAACATGCTAATTCAAAGTAATGCTGACCCAATTGTTCAGTTGGGGTAGGGTTACATAACTTAAAGACATTAATTTTGGTACATAATTTGGATATTACTTCGCAATAGGCATTAGCCGCTAATGCAGACGATTTAGTATCATCACTAAATTGTTTCAATGAATAGAAAGAATAAAAATAAGGACCAGCTATCGCCGATTTTGCCCACATTCGAAGTTGTATTTTCAACATAGCTTTGTGACTGCTAACAAGTTTGACAGTCGATTCGGCAAGAACTTTCTGCTGGCGATAGCCATACATTTGTGATAGATACCAATAAGCTTCATAGATTTTTTTCTCCGCTGCTATTGTCATATGTACAAAAGCTTTATGGGCATTTTTGTGGAATGGATGGACGCCTTCAAAAAGCATCCTACCGATGACATAGTGTGACCAAGGATGGCCATTTTCCGCGATTCTACTCTCGTGTTGTTGAGCAACTTTAGCACACAATTCATTCTTAACATCTTGCGCATCGAACAAAATGTCTAACATAAAATCGTCAAACTCACTATCTTCTTCTGCCACCATAACGTTCCCTTTTTAATTGTCGATAGACTAGATAACGTTAATCCTTTTCAAGACTGCATGAATCCTATACTACCAAATTAAAAAAGTCTGTTGGATGATATTAAAGAAGACAACTTATCTAATTACAGTACTATCTCTATTCCCAGGCATCCAAGTCGTCGTTGTTATCGTTGGTCGAGTTTTACATTACTGGTAGTCAATTACTATGATCACTATAGACACAAATACAACCGCCTTATGGTATATTGAATTTATACTAATTAATGATATTATTACGTTGCTGTCCTAGTCTACTTGTATTGTATAATATACAGTGGATTGCACTTGAAATAGAGATAAATAGACCTCTTTTCTATTTACATGTTGTCGATCGATTAATCTAATTAAAAAACGTCACTCCTAACATTGCTACCTTTGTTATTCTAATTGATTTCCAAGTTGTTACCTGCGAGGATCTACTTGGTAGCTTGTTATTGATACCAACAATAGCACTTAAATATGCAAGAATATAATTTGCCCCTCCTGAATCTATTGATAATGATCACGATTAATTGTGCTAGATGTCTCCATTATATTATTTATTCTTAAAAATATTCAACGTGGTTGAAATCATGGATGAGATGAAAGGAGTAAATCATCTTAATATCGAATGTAATTATATCAGCGTGAACTTCGTCAATTTATTGAAATTAAAGAAGATTAAATTTCATAATTAGCTTTCCAACCATTCAATATCATCTTGACCGTTGCTAAGTATCAAAGACGGATGTCAAGCTTTGCTTTATTAATCGTTTCAATAACAATTTTTTGCATCAGCATTAATTGACATTTTTAAATAGTAAATTACTCACAGGTATAATTTTTATAGTAGGCAATTTTGAGTGATGCATCATAATATGACAGCACTCCAATTGCATATTAATATATAGTCTGGAATACATTTTTTATCATTTTCATTTAGGAATGCGTGCCAGTATTCTAAGTAAGAATGAGGGACTGTATGTTAGAAACATCGATTCTACTGTTTTGAAGCTTACAAACCGGGCATTTTATTGTCAACTTAAATCAGTGCGGATTCAGCGTAGATGTTATATTTCCGGTTATTTACATATTTAAATTTTCTAGCCACAAACGAAAGAATTTAACAATCAACATTATCGCATGTATTAAAAAAGAATATCTGTTAAACACTTAATTTAATACTTCTATAAAGTAGAAATTTAATTAAATAATAGATCGTCATTGAACATCGGCAAGGAAATGTTTCTACTACGGCTTGGATTTCTTAAAACATTTTCTTCACATACTTGTACAGTTAATAATAAGCGAGTGCTAAAAGGTAATGCGAAGGCTGGAGCCATATCCATACCACTATTGGCTGACGAGGGTTCTAATTACAGTGTATAGGATCCCATCAATACCCTACGTTGGGTGATAATATGAGTTTTTAATTTTTTTTATTAGAACGTTCTAGTTAGCGATGCTTAATCAATTTTTCATCATGGATGTGCAAGTTAATCTAGCAAAGTATGCTATTTCTAATTGATAAGTTTCTATTGCCTAACACTTTAAATTTGCTTAATCTCGCTGGGAAATAAAACGATCTACTCACTTTGGTTATAAAATGGTGTAAATACATTGCTGTCCTAGATAATTTATTACAGTACTAGGATTTTTGTTATTAATTCCAAGTTGTAGCTATTAATTCAGATTTTTGTAATGGCTGCTTGGATCTGTACTAAATCTAAAGAACGAAGTGAAAGGGTTAAATGATTTTTGAGAATGTCATACTTTGATCACAATATTACAGAGCATTAGAGAGTCAAATAAAATGGGATAACATGACGAATACCGCAATCTTAAAAGCTATGAATTCGACCTAGTAAGTAAGGATTTACCAGGGTTTTTAGTTCTCTTAGATGGAAGTTTTGCACTGGTATTACCCGAATCCTTAGACAAGAGTTGATGCAGGAAATTTTACGCGAGTACTTTTCCACATACTATTTCATACGACCACCGCCACAGGTTGTCAACTATAGCCATAACGTATAGTAAAAGTGCTAGTGAACATTTAACATCTACTTAGATGACGAGGTGATATGGATGCGATTACTTAAAGTGTGAGATAAGATTTGCACTTAACTATTTCAAGATAACGGCACCGGATGGCTTTTTGATATAAAACTTCTTGGATTCATAAATTACTGGAAGCACCTTTAATTTTTCATTTAACTTGATTTTGTTAGAGATTCGAATTTTAATTATGTGATCAGAAATTACAGTATTGACGCTTTTAAGTGATTCGCACAGTACTGTCGTTTATGGAAATACAAGAGTATAAGCAGTGCTCATGTCACGACCATAGCTATGACATAGACAATTTTCCCTTTTAATTGAATGGCTCGTTCTACGTCGGAGACTAGTAATTATTTCTAATCACTATAACTTAGCGAAACTGCCGTAGTCTACTAAAGACAAAAAATGTCTCTTCGCTGAAGTAAAATCTTTTATTAAAAATAAAAGAACTTCTGCGACAGCTTCATCAATTTAACCTTTAATATGGATTTATATGAAATAGAATCTTGTTCGTTAACTATACTCGCTACCCAGGTTGACAATTTAACGTATCAGCGTTCGGTAAGTCTACGCTTAGTATTAGTATTGGTCAATAGCCTATATATACGTGCATAGCATTGCTAAAATGTGTAAATATGGGCAAATCGCAATCAATTCTTGTTGTATGTTGCATAATTGATTAAAGAAAAGAAAGAATGTTTGTTGGATCGTTGATTTTTCAACTTCATAAAGATGATTCAATTTCGGTCTTTTTTGATATTCACTTATATTTATACCCGTCGGTCGTATTTATTTATTTAACCAGAATTCGGGTATACTTTTATGCAGAACAATGTGGTTCTGTACGTCAAATCCATGTTGACAGTGAATAAACGATGTACGATATACGGGTATACCGTAGAAGTGTCAAAGATATTCCCAGTATTAAATCGGGGACTAGATATCATTCTAAATAAATAAGGGGATTAGGATATGTCATGTCACAGTATGAATAGAAAGGCAGTTCACATTCTTTCCTATATACTTCGGAACATGTAGGTTGCTTTCTACTTTCGGTCTGTTGTAATGGATGTTATGATTGCCGGTAATAAAATGCCGTGTAGTCGATTAACATGTTAATAGTAATGTTGAAGTTACTTTGATCGCCGATTCATCACCCACATCATCTGATACTGGAGAGCACTTCATTTTGATGCTCATTAGAGTGTTAAAATACTGGCAAAAAGGTCTAAAGACAGTAAGAAATCACGATTGTTTCATTATGGAAAACTGGTATACACATTGCACCCTAAACGTACAGTATTACGAAAGCTACTAAACATGCACATACTCGTATGCTTGCAAATAAAGGATATTATTTCAAAATTAATACTAAATGTACTCCTAGAATATTTACTGTATGATTGGAGAATTCATTTCGATGCTCTATACAGTTTTAATTCTATCATTAAGGAATTAATAGTCATGAATATACTAAATGTACTTGTAGAATATGTACTTTATGATTGGAGAATTCATTTCGATGCTTTATACAGTTTTAATTCTATCATTAAAGAATTAATAAGCTACTAGACATGAACATACTCGTATGCTTACAAATAATGGATATAATTTCAAAATCAATACTAAATGTACTTCTAGAATATTTACTATATGATTGGAGAATTCATTTTGATGCTCTATGCAGTTTTAATCCTATCATTAAGGAATTAATAATCATTGTCAACGTCAACTTGCAACTCCTGAGTTACCAACGTCAATCATGACGTCATTTTCCCCAGCACTGCATTCAAAGGTGAGCCCTCGGCTTCTAGTCCATGCTATACTGTAACAGATACGATACAGTGCAATGCCTATTGATCTCTTAATGACTTCAAATGTAGCAGGTAAGAACACTAAAATGACGAAAATGATGAAGAAAGCATTCGCTATGGTTGTTACTTGTTAGTGAAAATGGCAAGCCTAAAAAAAATGCTCCTCTCCAAAATTGCTAAAAAGATAGCGTGCGTTGGCCGGGAATCGAACCCGGGTCAACTGCTTGGAAGGCAACTATGCTAACCACTACACCACCAACGCATACCTGAGCGTAAAGAGGTAGATTTTGTATAAGTAGAATGAATCGGTGTTGTCTTGGCTATTAACGATGCCATCCATAGAAAAACGTTCTAATTTCTCGATCCCTATAGTAGCATCGAGGCAATAATCTCGGTCCTGGTACAGTACCGAGCTGTATAGTGTAGGTACGCAAAACATAGTGCGTATCATTAGAATTATACTACCGTAATTACGGTTGTATATCGCATACTAAAGAACGCTCAAGTCAAATGCCTGTACGGCAAGTCAGCGACCATTTGAAAAGAGCAAAATTCCTATCCAACATCAAATTTTCACTCCACAGCATGATTAAGAAGGAAAGTATTCTATCCGATAGGATCTGAGTAGAGTATGCTAGTGTATAGTATGGCCCTAATAAAGACTGGTGATACTCCAACTCACCGTTTCCACTCACAAGTGGAAACGCCGACAGGACTCTGGACTAGGGGATTGACTTAGTGGTCAAAGGAAAGCTACAGACTGCCAGACAGAATGGATGGGGGAAAAGCAGGACTGCAGTATAAAGAGCGACGTGGAACTTTCCATCCTAGTTTGATCTTAGACTTGGCAAATCCATTGGCTTGACTGCATCCATTCTATCATTAACTCTTTCTTCTTCGTTGCAGTGGATTTCTAATTTTAAATTGACAAGTATGGCTGGAGAAAGCGATATTGGTGATTGGTATAAGAATATCCCATTTATAACCAAGCAGTGGTTTACCATGTCGGTAATTTTGCCCATGATTGGTTGGTTAAAGATCATCAACCCGATGTATTTTCTCCTGATATGGTCGGAAGTTGCTTATAAATTTCAGGTAGGGAAAGACAAATGACTTTGTCATCTTGCAACGCAGCTTTGCCTGTTTGATTTCACCTTTAGTTGACTTCAGACTAGAGACAAGTAGCGATGCCTTTGGGAGAGAAGCGACAAAGTTGATCAAAATGAAGCAGTAGTTTTCATCATTTCATTGCACAACGCCACTCAACTGGCAAAAGCCTAGCAGAATGACATCTTCTCCTGCGATTGACATCGCATTAACAGCATAGTCTATCTTCTCATGATCATGTTACACCGAAAAGGCAAATTGATTTCAACGATAGTACATTGGCATCATCCATCCGCACACCATATGAATGATGTATCTGGAGATAGAAAGTGCTAGCAATGGCGGTAGTATAAGTACAGTCCATTTTCCAGTGGACAGGATGATTTGAAAAGTCTTCCTTAAGCAATACGTACAGTGTCATGACAGACAGTATCTTACGGCGTAGTGCCATCGACAGTATGACTTTATTCCATGGACATGATGAAAGTCTACAACATGTTTTCTAAATACTTTAAATGATAGAAAGTCAAGATTGATTTCCTATCGCAATAGAGTCAATGGAGATTATGCAATCCAACGCGTCTTTGAAATGATCTCGCCAATCAAGAACTATCCTGTTGTCGATCGTACATTTCAGGGATGGTGAACAATCCAAGACATACTTTCATTCAGTGCCATACTGTGTCGACATCAGAGCATCAAATAAGAAACATAAAATTACCTCTACAATGTTGCAATTCATGAGAATTTTATGTAGGCCATAGAAGACATACTATAAATCATGCTGCTAGCCTCATCTTCTGAAAAATTCAGTAGTGTAGTAACAAGCTTGTGCTTTTTTATCACAAGGATCGATTACTAGTTCTAGTTGGCGGTGTAAAGACAGTATGATTTTATGCAAATTAACTTGTTGACCAAGACAAGATCTTGCCAGGACAAATTGCAATTTGACCATTTGGAGTAGCAATTTCAAAAGTTCTGCTGTACCCATCGACGTACAGTATTATAATGATGATATAGTTTAGCTTAGTAATACATTTATATACTGTATAGAATGGGTGTTGATGTTGTCACGATGAGTCAGTTATGATTTTTATATAAATTGACGGGTTGACCAACATCGCGTGATGAGAAATTGCAATTTGGAACAGTAATTTCATGAATTTCTACTGTGTTGATCTGTTGTAATTATTGTACTTAGTAAGCTTTATAACTAATGGCTGTTTATGTGCACGTTACAACACACCAGAAAATACCAATTTGTTCAGTTATGATGTATAAATTTGACAAATTACTATACGTTTAGGTATCTAGTAACCGATTGTGATGAATTTTACTCATTCTCTATTTTTTATAGATATGGAGATTGTTGACCGCCTTGTTCTTCTTTCCTATCAATCCAATGACAGGATTTCAATATTTAATTAACTTATACTTCCTTTATAGCTATTCTATCCGATTAGAAACAGGTACTGCAACAATAAGTTCCAAAGTGATGTAAAGTATAACCATATACTGTACAGTATGATCGTATTTACTGCATGGTAACATTGACGATGTGAATGTTTGATGGGAAGTAGTCGATTTGCTTTGGAGTATGATGTAAAGTCTTACCGTTCAATAAATTATGCTAAGCGCTTAGAGGTTATTATTATGCTCGTCCAGTAGTATTGATCAGTCAGATAATGATTCAATTATTTTATTCTTTGTCATAATGGTAGGCAGCATGGATTAATGTCAAGTCTTAACTTTATTCCTTGCTGTACATTAGCTTCTACTTCATCGTATTAGCATACAAGAGAATCTCGATTTAGAAATAACAGAAAATGAACCTTATTATATGTAATGCATTGCATTTTTTATTTCATTTTAAGGTCTATTTGATGGCCGTCCTGCAGACTTCATTTTTATGTTAATATTTTGCTGGCTAACTCTGATTGTAAGTTGATCATGATGATTACGGTGATGATTTTATCGAATACGTACACTTCAATAGTATAAGTATGACAATGATCGATTTACTCTACAGTTTACCAAGCAATGCAGGTTATTTATACCAATCACTATAAAATGGTCTTTTAAATGCAGTAAATTCTATCTAAAGAGTGACCAGGAGTAGTAGCGCCATAGTGTTCTTTACAGTGTACCAAATAAAACCTTGATGATATTAGAATCGATTTACTATAGTATAATGTCTATTGCGCGTTATATTTTATACTTTTCCGAGTCACACTCGTTGCGCATGGTTTGGTGTATTTTGGCAACGATTGACTTTTTCATTTTATTTGTTGCAGATTGTTGGCTTTGTACTTAACGTTTACGTAAGTTACCCCTTATCCTAATTTATACTATACTGCAAAATCGCTTTAATATAAAATGTTTTGGTTACTTGTGCATCCTTGATGTAGTAGAATAAATCGCTTCTAGTTGGCATCGAAATTACTAATGTTAACTGCTCTTCTGTGATGTTATTGAATTATTACAACATGTATAATTTAATTAAATCCATCCTGGAAATTATAGTTACTGATGACTCCAATGGTCTTAAGCGTCCTTTATGTGTGGTGTCAAGTGAATCGAGATGTAATTGTGCAATTCTTCTTTGGCACTCAATTTAAGGTTGCTAATATTGTATATATCTAGAAAAACTTTCAACCTTACTTGTACTTATTTTGCACTATCGAAATGTTTCATAAATTAGGCGATGTACTTGCCATGGGTATTTGCTATATTTAACATCGTCATCAGGGGATCGTAAGGACTACATTGATTGTACAATATCACTTCAATGTTGTGATAGTGTTCCATGACTAATCTGTAACGTTCTTATTATACTCTTTCAGCGGTAAAGATGAACTAATCGGAATTTTTGTTGGCCACGTTTATTTCTTCCTTGTCTTCAAGTACCCGCAAGAATACGGTGGACGTCAACTCATAGGAACACCGTCATTTCTGTATGATTGGATTAGATATTACAATTTTTACTCTAGACATGCTTTTTAAATGCAAACGTTTCTAATCATTCCTCTTTTTTTTGTAGGTATCGATATTTTCCTAGTAGGCGCGGTGGTGTTAGTGGTTTTGGTGTTCCACCTGCCAGTCGCAGACCCGAAAATGAAGGCCAAGGCTTTCGGGGCCATAGGTGGGGTACAGGACAAACACTTGGAGGCAATTAAATTAGGAAAGTCCTTACTGCATTGTTGATGGACACTAATGCCTATTTCATACGTCTATGTACGAACTACAAGTATGTTTAACGATCTTGGTTTGTAAATAAATAATCGCCATTATCATTCTTTGTGTACCATAGTATATCGTGTAAGGCCTAACCACTGGCAACGGTGTCTGTATGCATGATGCAGTATTTCACATATCACCGGTACTAGAATATCTGTGTATATCTTTGCAAGTTATAGATACTCTTCACTGAATCAGATCTACAATATTTGGATGAAAAAATGTTCTCCTTGAAATCCGTTATAAAACGGAATATGTACACATTTGTATACTCCTATGGGCTTGTGTAAGAGCCTAGCAATACAATCTATTCTTACAAAGTATGATTTTAGATGAGAATCACTGGGGTAGTCCAGGTCCAGGATGAGCTCTTTAGACCGTCTCTTTTAAATGAGTTGGTGTTTGCGTAATGAAAGGAGATTACTTACCTAATTTTCCTCCTATAAGTACTATAATAGGTACTATCGATTAATTATAATCATGGCAATATTAATAAAGACTACTACTCGGGTATGAGCTCTTAAGACCGTCTCTTTTAGCATCGGTTAGTGTTCGCTTCATTATTAAGGGAGATCAATTTACTCAATTTTTCTCTCATAAGGAATGAGTATCATCGATTATAGTAATACAGTACTAACAATGACTACCACCACCAGATCGCAGTGGTGTTGCAGTCATTACTCTATTTAATAGAAATATAGACGTAATTAATTGAGCTCCTGTCGCTTTAATAGAGATGAGTTAGTGTTTGCGTAATTAAAGCAGATCAACTAACTCCATTTTTCCTCTCATAAGTAATGGATACCATCGATTATAGCAAGATTAATAATGGCTACCACCCAGATTGCAATTAATTGAGCTCCTGTCACTTTAATTAAGATGAGTTGGTGTTTACGTAATTAAAGCAGATCAACTAACTCCATTTTTCCTCTCATAAGTAATGGATACCATCGATTATAGCAAGATCAATAACGGCTACCACCAGATTGCAATTAATTGAGCTCCTATCACTCTGATTAAGATGAGTTGGTGTTTGCGTAATTAAAGCAGATCAACTTGCTCAATTTTTCCTCTCATCAGTAATGGGTACCATCGATTATAGCAAGATTAATAACGGCTACCACCAGATTGCAATTAATTGAGCTCCTATCACTCTGATTAAGATGAGTTGGTGTTTGCGTAATTAAAGCAGATCAATTTGCTCAATTTTTCCTCTCATAAGTAATGGGTACCACCGATTATAGCAAGATTAATAATGGCTACCACCAGATTGCAATTAATTGAGCTCCTATCGCTCTGATTAAGAGTTGGTGTTTGCGTAATTAAAGCAGATCAACTTGCTCAATTTCCTCTCATAAGTAATGGGTACCATCGATCATAGCAAGATTAATAATGGCTACCACCAGATTGCAATTAATTGAGCTCCTGTCACTTTAGCTAAAATGAGTTCGTGTTTTGCAATGAATTGAGCTCCTGCCACTTTAATTAAGATGAGTTGGTGTTTGCGTAATTAAAGAAGATCAACTAGCTCAATTTTCCTTTCATAAGTAATGGGTACCATCGATTATAGCAAGATTAATACAGACTACCACCAGATTACAGCTGGTGTCTGTGTTCGCTACAGCCATCACTCCATTTAATGGCAATTTACATATAATTTAATTTAATTTAATTTATTTATTGCATCGGTTAACAACGGGGAGGCTGCAGGGTGTTGTACAATATAGTATACTACGCAGCTGCACGCGGCCACACCTAGCTCTCAGCATTGAAAATGATGAATCCATTTAGGGTCCTCTTTCTCATACTGTAGCATATATTGTATTGGGTCGTATCAAACTCGGTACTATTGTCGATATGGACTCACCATTGCCAATGCGACTATCGTAAAATCAAATCAAATGCAAATTTCAATTAAGCATTCCAGCACATTCCTTTACTATTTAGAAGTGGAAAAGGCGCTTTGAAAGTCTACAGTGGTGAACAATTTTAGCGATAGAATCCTCAATAGCCTTTGGCTACGGTGGAATAAGACAGCGATCATTTTTGGTGTTGAAACGAATGATTTTATAGTGTAAATAATCATGTCGTGGATTCAATCGCCGAGTAGCAACCGGATGATAGCTATCCGGAACGATATTAAAAAGGCCTTCGAATTGGATGCAAATAACCAATTTAGGGTAAGTCTACTGTACAAGTCGTGAGCGAAGGGTAACTAAATGATAGAGGTTCATCTTGCACCGTAGAATAGATGGTAGATTGTACTACTTTCAATAGAGAGACAATTCTCCCATCTTCGATTGTAATGGAGGATTGATCATTTGCGATCGCTCGGTCTTGTAATGGGTGTTAGTTTCCACTTTATCCATCCAACATTGATTTATATTTTATTGTTTCTCCAATTGGATAAACGTGAACTTTCAAATGGAATCCTATTCATACGTTATAGCAAGCTTTTACTCAATATCTGACTTGTGCTGACTCTATTATTGGAATTGTTCAAGGAAATTCTGCTAATAAAAGTAAGAGCACAAATTGCATTCTGTGGTAGTGAGAGTCAAAAATAATAATAATCAAAACGATCAATAAGAATAGCACAAACTCAATATGTTGTGATAATGATCGGACTTGGCTTATAGACTTGAATGAGATCAGAACAGGAACCAATGAAAGGCTATTGAACCTACTGAAACAATGTGTTGAACGATCTGCTGCAATTTTAGAATCTGGTAAAATTGGTATAAATCCTACTCGTATAATAATGCCACAGGAATTAGAACCATTTCGTACAAAGAGGAATAACCTGCAGAATGCAGTACTAATTAATCTACGAAGAGTATATAATTAGATCAAATTCTTAGTCGAGTCTGTTGTAACACGATGATTCTTACTTTTCCAAGGTGAAACTGCAATTGATGATGATCTCTGTATCACTGATGCCGTCTTTTATCACTTAGGTAAAGATGACAAATCAGAAGATTCTCAATCTAGTCCAAGCCAGCAGCAACAAAATCGCGATAGAATTGATAGCCAAGATTCTCATGCGGATAAGTGTTCATAGCCCAACTGAAGATGAATCCAATCAACCTCCTGCATCACCATTACAGCAGCAGCATTTTAATACAAATCAAACTGACCATACCCTAGCGAACTGTAAATCAAATTCATCCGAAAATATGGTATCTTTCGATGATTACTTCAGGTAGAATTAATAATTTCACAACATGATCAACGTGATGAATAAATGCAATAGCTAAGTTGCGTATATTTGTAACCTCTTATGACAATCACGTTCTCGTGGCTTGAATGGTTTATTCTTGACCCTAGTATATATATATATACAGTATAGTAAGCATGGCGTTGACCTAGTCTTAATTAATGAAATCTATCATTTGCAAAAGATGTACAAAATCTCAAGGATGTTCATGCTATCATAAAACAGTCGGCACAATGATATATTCTTGAATACTGTTACAGGCAGGAAACCGATTCGTTGACCAAAAAGCTGAAAATTAATGAATCCATCATCTCTTTATATCGGCAAAAACTCGAAGTTGTTAACAACACTCCGCAGCCTCCAAATGTGGTAAAATATAACACCTTCATTACTATTATAAAATCGGTGACTATTACTCATATTGAATGCAATAACGCCAGTTATTATATGATGCAAGAATAGCGTGATGGCAATTGATCATGTGGACAATTGCAAAGTGTCAAGTCCCCATTTAGCTGTTCAGGCCTTTCTTGTTTGCAATCATGATCGAATATTGTATTACTCTTACTGTAAGATCGTAGAAATGCATGATAGTATTACCAGTTATAAGGATCGCCCTACTTTGATTTCCATCCACCATATATAGCAAGAAATAATCCTTTCTATCAGTGAGGCAGTTACCTAAATGTAAATATAATTTTTTCAATTATATTCTTTTCGACGCGATCGATTCAGCATCGCTGTATACTTTAGTAGGAAGTACATGGATGGAGATAGAGCAGTTCTAGTGTACAGAGGATGTTAATGTAAATCTAATTCACTTTGCACTACTATGATAGATAGTATAAATGTTTTGCATGCTAGAATTGTAGTTTATAGGAAACGTTCGTTATTCAAGTGCATGTAGTAAATCTGCTTATAGATTGTGAATTAGTTCTAACATCCAAAATATGACGGCAATACTCTTGGTAGGTTTCAAAGTTATTTCATACTTTCCTGGATTTGAATTATTTCCATGGACATGCGCGTAGTTCCTTCTATCTTAAAAAATTGTACTAGAGATGTTTATGAATGACGAGAATCTATCAAAATTTTATAGATTCTTTTGATCAATCACCATAGTACTGTAGCAATGGAAATTGCGCAATTATTGATGTAAAGCACTAAAAAGTGTGAATTCTGCACTGTATTAAAAATTAATTATTGCAGTCTTTGATATGATTATTTCAGTAAGTTCATTTGTAGTACATTTATTATCTTCATTTAGAGATTGAGAATGAACCGCCAACTTTTGGCAAACTTAGCTATTATCGAAACCAAACAGAAGCAGGTGAAAATCTTTACCTTAGCCTTAATCTTTTTTCAATATTGTATCATGCATTAAAAGTTCAAAACTCGTAGCTATAGTTCTGTTGTACATGCTTTCATTTATAATTTTATAACTTAATGCTATAATCTTTTTATTTAGTTGATCGCTACCATGCAAGAAAGACAGAGTAAACTAAAAAGAGAACTTGATAGGTTTGTCTTGACAACGCTGAAATGTGCCTATATAATGGTAGTTTGTGATGCAATATCAATATTAATATAAACTTTCTTTTATTTTCTTCATTGCTTGTAATATTACCTTCAATTTCATGCATTTTGATTATAAATCTCTTTTGTAGGCGTGTTGCATCTACTGCGGCGTTATCGGTTAGCGAAGACGAAAAGCGACAGCTACTTATATCAGTTTGGCAGTTTGAGAAAGGAAATGTAAGTATAATTAATCACCGATTCCTTGAAAGTGTAGAGTAGGGACTATAAATTATAGGAATGCCATTTCTGCAACATTTAACTATTAGTACACTCGATTGGTCTACTTTTGTACTTTCTTGCCCTGTTCTTCTGTTGGTTAGATTCGATAGTCTGCATTACTAGTAGTTCAACTCTTCTGATGTAATAACCTATCTTGCGATTATTATTGAAGCGAAAATAACGTGTTTGAAAGCCTTATTGGATTTAATTTTTGAAGGCTTTAGTTAGTAATGTATTAATTATTTGTTAACGGCAGGAATGGACCGCAAGTGTACATGCTAAACTAAAAGCAACCCCAAATGATGCCCATGTTATCGAAAAGCAAATAAATGTTATACTGAAGTGCGTGCGTGTAGAATTCAATCATAACACGATTAGGTGCACCTTGCAAGTAGTGTTATAAATGTATCATCTTCATTGTTATTAGCTACAAGGATCATCCTTTAACAAGGTTGATGGCTGATTATCATGAATCAGTTAATACCAAATTAGCCGAAATAGATAAACTAGCACTTACGATCAACTCTGCTAATTCAGCTGAAGGACCCGATTTAAATTCTGATGGCAAGTTTTAACACCTCATAAATACTAGCATTATTGACATCGTTATTGCAAATGTTATGATGAAAATGCTAAATTGTGCTAGGATGTGAATTACTTAAAAATGAATTAATGGTCTTTAAGCAGAATGAATGAATGGAATTTTTCGGATTATGATGGCTCTGATTTTTGATTCTGATTAATTATTTATTTAGGCTGTGGTGATTGTCAAGGGGGTAGCGAAGAAGGGAATAATCTTAGCGATGGTAGCAACGACGGCAGTTTAACATCCAGTGATAAACTGAATGCCATTAATTCCATAGATAATTTGGTCTCTGAATTTAGTAAAAAATTAGCCAAGCTATGTCGAGAAATTCAGTTATATTTTGGTATGACTAATGTTTAGTACTTCTGTACGAGATGGAATTGCTCTGATGATTGACTCTAAAATTATTTTGTAGCATTCTTGCGGGACTACTAAACTCCGTCCTTTCTGTTTAGGCAAATTGAGATCTATGTTTATCATCGCTTGCGAAGAACTAAATACGCCTAACGGTCGTAGTTATTGCTCTGAAAGTCTCGAGTCACCCTTTTACGGCAGTATTGTAACTGAACTTGTCTCTGTTTTAAGGTAAGGATAGTTATACAAGAAATTAGATATCGCTGTATCAAACTGTCCTCATGAGATGCCGTAGGTAGGAAATTCTACGTTAAATCTATATCCTTTTTACACAGGCAAACCAATAGCAACCGTGAAAAAGAATTTGCGGAAATATTACGCTCTTATGCTACGAAACAGCCTCAGGAATTAGGTGTACCGGTTAAATTTTGTTTGAAGGTAAATGCAGAAATGACCAATTTTATAATGTTAAAGTACAAGTCTATATTTTGTTGTTAAGTATTTCTTGTAGTGACTAAGGAATAATTTTCTATAGGACGAAACACGCAACACGATACCCTACATAAAGGCAATTGAAAATCTATCGAAATTAACTACACTGACCAGCCCATCTAAGAAGTTACGGTGCTTAGGTAACATAAATATCTGGTAGTCATTATACACGGATGTTACGAATAGGAGAGTAATTGATTTGGTTTATTGCTAACATTGCCGACGAGAAAGCTGTTATCTGACTTAAAGTGGGAACAAAGACTTTAACTATCTACAGCTTGCCGTCCTTCATTTGTTAATATTTTGTTTCGCTTCTAAAAATTAAGAATAACAGAACTATTCTATATTTGCAGTTCGAACAGTTCGAGCAATTTTTGAAGCGGTTGACGAATTCAACCGCCCAGCTAAAGGGAAAGGAAGGAAAACTCCTGCTACGTCTAATATGTACGTGCGGACTGTATAGAATACGTTATGCCTTGTAATGGGATTTGGCTTGCTTTCTTTCTTTATAACTTTTTCTCACGTCAACTACTTAAAAACGCCGTTATTTTGCATTACCATATAGGGGATGTGATGATCTTCTTCCTATATTAAGCTTTGTGATCATCAAAGCTGCCAATCCGTTAATATTATCTGAAAGTACCATTATGGAAGAACTGATTGATGATAGGTATGTTCTGAGGGAAAAGAATTAGAGGAATAGAGCGCCAGATTGATATTAGCCATAGAGCCCGTTGTAAATAGCAAGATATGATAACGGTCTTAATTGCATTTTTTCTAGCTACTTGATGAATGAAGAAGGATACTGTTTAACGTCATTGCAAGCTGCTTTAGGCTACGTGACTACTTTACCTATTGAACTCCCGATCGTAAAATAACAATTTCAAGGCAATACATTACTACAACAATATAATTTTCCAATGAATTTATGTATTATATCATGCTGTTAAACTACACAACAGGAAGTTATTAGAATATTTTCTCTATTCGTCTATAATTAATGAAGAACGACATATGGATAGTGACTTAATCTAGCACTATATATTGTTTATACAGCATGTATATATAACCTGCATACTGTAAACCGACAAAGAGTATTTTTGTTCATGATGCCATGATATACTTATTCATGCGTTGATACTAAGCTTTGTCTACTGTACACGTAAAAAGCAGTGTAAACTTGACCATTGAACTTAATTTACAGAGTACGACTACATCTTTTATAAGTCCAACTGATAGATTGTACTGATATTTGTAATGCAACAGAATCATGTTACCAGAGGTATCTAGATATGTTTCTGTTCATTATGATCAAATCACTGTAGCTAGTATATCCTGTCCTATGATGATCACAATCACTGTAGCTAGAAAATCTGAATATCTCAAGAAAGATAGAAAGTAATTTTCATCATGTCAATTTGTCAGCCTTTTTATATCTTTTTTGATATTGTTATGGTGTAAAACGATCTATAACTAATGTACAATATTGACTGATCATAGTAAATTTTAACAATTTACTAAAAATTACGATGAGATTTAGTTAAGTTTCAAAATTAATTTAAAGGATATCTTAGAAAGACAAGACATATTCGTATCGATGGCAATACTGATGCAAGTACAAAATGCAAACCAAATAGTACAATTTCAATCGCAACATTACAAATATAGGAAGGGTTTAACGACGGCTACTATAATAGCGTGATCGATTATTGAAACGCGAGGTATCTTTTGAATTAATGGTGTAATCTCTACGTGGATTAGATCTCGATCTAGATCGTCGTCTTCTCTCATTGTTGCGTCGCTCTACGGATCTACGAGTGCGTGATCCTGGTAGGAATTCTATACCCTGGCGTGTCTCACTTCCAGAAACTAAAGTAGTCCTTACTTTACCGGCCTATGAAATCGAAATTGAAAGGAATTATTAAAGCAAGTTCAATCAATTAATAAACGTAAGCAGAGCATGAATAAGCTGTACAGTTTACGGGTGATTACCTCTTCTTCCGACAACGGGAGCCAATATATGTGAGGAGAAGTCTCCGTTTTTCGAAATAATTCGTCCAAAACATTAATGGGTGCATCAGTTTCATTATCCTTATTTCTGTCATCTTCTGCTGTACGCAATTGGATAAGTAGGCCTGTTATGAGATTATATCTACACTGTCGATTTAACCGAAGTCACAACACTACCTATGTCTTCGTTATCAGGACCTAACGACTCTTGCGTATTTGTCGGAGCAGGTTCAACTTCCATGACCTCTTCGGCTAGGATACCCCGTGCTCTATCCATCTAATCACATGGAAATATACGCAAATTGATCAGTTCAGGATAGACAGATGGTACAATTTTATCGCTACATATAGTACTCGTAATAATACGATTTCATTTCTATACCTCTTCTTGATTTGAGAATTCAACTGTCAGCCTCTTTGGGCTGGTGGATGGCCATCTCTTACCATATAAGTTGTTTCTAGCACTTGTAGCCTCTTCCGTAGAAGAGTACTATAAAAGAGCCCAAGATGGTTACAATCATTATTACAACTCATAGATTTATGCAATGGACCACAAATCTTTAGTACTATTGGATAGAATTGTGAAGACATACCTTAACCATACACCTAGAACGAATATTATCAATCCAAAACTCATCCTCTTTAATAGTTCCGTATTCTCGAAGTATCTCCTTTAACTGTACCAATGTAAACGGTCTAACCAAATTTGTTATATGCACTATTTCATTGACAGGGTTGGCTGACTCAGGAACTGTTACCTCTTCCAATTCTTGAGGGATGTTACTATACTTTTTACTCATATCGAATTTTTTGCTACCTGAAAGATAGATTGGTAGCGAAGGTTAATTTACGCAAGTTTTACAAGTACGCAAAAAAAACAAACCTGTCGTTAGGTTTTGACGGTTAAGCTTTGGTGGGATATGTTGTTGGTTCCTAAGATCTGGTGTAATATTATCTACTTTTTTGCTTGTGTCCATTACTTGTACATTGCGAGTACTTTCATGGTTCTCATTCTGCAATGAGTAAAGCAATAAAAATGTTACACTTGGAAATAAGACGTCCTAAAATTGAGTCCCATTCTTTAAAATCTCAAGTAATTAAAGAAGGTCAAAACTAGCTAACCTGGATATCATTGGAAGGCGAGTTATCATTCATGATATCCTAAGGAATGTATAAATATAGCAACGTCAGCATCGTCGACAGTCGCAATTTGTAGTGCGAACATTTACAAGCAAGCATATGAAGAGCGCACTGTTTTGGCAACAGAAAATTAAGGTTTATGCACCTGCAAGAGATTCGTGTTGATGAGTATAGACTTGTTTTCATCTTCCATTGATTTCTTACCCCACTGTTGTTTTTCTGCACTTTCACTCTCTATTTCCTCAGTACTTTTAACGTCTAGTGAAATAAGATTAAGAAGGCATATTAAACTTTTATTCTAGGTATCATTTTATAAACTGATAGACCTAGAAAATTGACTTACTATAACCAGATAGTCTCCGTTTTGTCACATCTAGTTGTCTACTATTTTTACGGGGCTGCTAGAAAATTCAGAAAATGATTAAATTAGCAATATATACCAAGATAATTTAGTAGATCAAACAAAATCATTATTCATTTTGTAACAACACATCATTACAGATTCTGCCCGTACTTCTTTGTTACTAGCAGAAGCTTTGTCAATTTTGCTTTTATCTGGCTCCAGCATAATTTCCTGAGGTACAACTTCCGATTTATCGGATTCCTAATAAAATTCATTGAATAGTGAACTGATTGTTCAAAATAATAAAACGGCTCATGTCAGAGCGATATGTTTACATGCACTACCTTATCGCGTATCTCCTGGTCATTATTATCAACGGTTTCAACTTGCATAGGTTCGACTTGCTGTTCTTCTTTAGCAGCTGGCGCAGGATCCTCTGTCGCTTTTACTTCAGCTTGAGTCTAAATTTAGAGATATGCATAAGATGACTTTTAAAAATATTTGAAAAATACTCATCCATTTTAATTTATCTAAGACATTAACCAGTCGATATACTGGTAGTAGGCGAACTACGCTATTTTACTGCTATTCTATTAGCAGATAAGCAATTTTAGTTGGTGGATCAATCGTACATAACTTTCATAATACAGTCGATATACTCGTAGTACGTGAACTAAGCTATTTTACTGCTATTCTATTAGCAGATAAGCAATCTTAGGTGGTGGATCAATCCCACACAATTTTCATAATACTGTACAGTCGATATATATTACTCGTAGTACGTGAACTAAGCTATTTTACTGCTATTCTATCAGCAGATAAGCAATCTTAGTTGGCGGATCAATCCTACATAATTTTTATAATGCTGTCGATATATATCACTCTTAGTACGTAAACTAAGCTATTTTACTGCTATTCTATTAGCAGGTAAGCAATTTTAGTTGGCGGATGAATCCTACATAATTTTCATATTGCAGTCGTATATGTATCACTCGTAGTACGTGAACTAAGCTATTTTACTGCTATTCGATTAGCAGATAAGCAATTTCAGTTGGCGGATCAATCGTACATAACTTTCATAATACAGTTGATATATATCACTCTTAGTTATTCAATTAGCAGATAAGCAATTTTAGTTGGCGGATGAATCCTACATAACTTTCATAATGCAGTCGATATATATCACTCGTAGTACGTGAACTATGCTATTTTACTGCTATTCTATTAGCAGATAAGCAATTTTAGGTAGTGGATCATTCCTACACAATTTTCATAACACTGTGCAGTCGATATATATCGCTCGTAGTAAGTGAACTAAGCTATTTTACTGCCATTCTATTAGCAGATAAGCAATCTTAGTCGGCAGATCAATCCTACATCATTTTCATAATCCAGTCGATCTATATCATTGGTATGTTATGGTAATATCTATGACAGGCTTGTAAACGACATCCTATCACTTTTATAAAATAACGGAAGTATAGTCCATATTGACCGTCTACTTGCATCTCATTCTTACAAAAGCTATACTCTGTATACTGTAACGAGTATACAGTACAGTAATTCTTCCCGGATGAAGAATTGACCTGGTTTATTATTTGCCAAGACTGCTTGAAAATAAATTCAAAGTGCAGATTTTCAGACTACATAGGATAGTATACTGGCAATGAAAACAATACTATTTCATGTTATGGGGAAAAGTTCATGAAGATGATAAAAATAAAATTGATTTTCTACAGCTTCATACCTGATTTTCTTCCATTGCTTCTTGATTTTCTGTAAAAATGAGGCAAAAGAAGGGTACAATAGTACTATGTCAGGTAACGTTGTCAACCAGGTATTGATAGTGTAGAAACACGAATAGTGGTATTGACAAATTGATATTACCTGTGGCCTTTGCTTCTTCAGCTTCTTTTTCCATCTTTTTAACATGCTGTTAAAATATATATAAGTGTATGTTATGTAAAATACTTACGCAATGCTAAGCTAGTTATGGTATTAATGCAATAGAGCAGTGATTGTAGTAGAATGGATTGAATGGTATTTGCTCCTGTATAATATCATTCTTATCCAACATTGTATAGCTTCCACGTTGCAAAGGAAATGCAACCTTGTCCATGAAAGTGCAGTAGAATTCCGTTCTACTCTAACGTTTAGTAATGAAGGGAATATCTGTATTGACTAATTTTGTATTCAAATTAAGAGTAGGCAATTACAAACAGTGATGTAGACTCATTCTGTATCATTGTACCATGGCCTACAATAGCATGTCAAACTAAGGGAAGATGATTCTTTTTGTGCAATCTTGGTGGATGCGTTGAGAACTTGAGATTAGGATTTGAACGAGTAAAATCGATAGTTATAATGTGTAGTAACGTTAGGATGAATAAGCAGAATACAGAGGGATTTGATTACAATGTGCAGTAACGTTACTATTTTTTGTATCATGCTGATTTGTGTCAGATCAGTTGATTTGAAAGGCAAGATAAGTCAGAAGGAGAATATAGCACAGAGTGATTTGAATCGCATCTTGCTAAGGAAGATTACAATGTGCAGTAACGTTGCGATGACTGTATTTTTTGGATCATGCCGATCAGTGTTGGATCAGTTGATTTTGAAAAGGCAAGCTAAGTCAGAATACAGAAGGATTTGAATCGCATCTTGCTAAGGAAGATTACAATGTCATCAAGCTAATTGAACTCGTTGTTGTCCAGTCAAGAAATGATTGATGAAGATGATAGTCTGCACAGTTGTAGTCATCGTAGCAAGTCTCTACGTTGATGATAATACCTCTAGTAAGCGTGCAATCAGCACACTTTTGCTGCCACCAACATGTAAGTGTCTCTTGGAGAGCTCTTCCTTCAATTTTACTACTTTCATTCCCATAATATCGCCTTTGGTTAGCTCCGCCATCTTGGCCGATTGCATTTGGCAGAGTTGAGTGGAATTGCATAGAGAAAATGGCTGTCTAGCTTGGACAGTAGTGATTGGTTAAATTGGATGGTGTTGTTTCGGACGTACTCTTGACTTGATGATGGCTTGGTAGTATAGTGTCGAAAACGGCCATAAAATACAGTAGTAAAACACCAGTCGATCATGGCCAGGTAATTTTCTTTCCACAGGAGTCGCGGCAGTACTGATTCGACGCAGTAGAAACACGCTTGGACGGACAGACTTTGACCGCTTTTCTGACGTTGAAAATGGTGTGCTAAACACTTGGTTGCGAGTGGTGGCAGTAGTTTAGTAGACAGTTAGTCGATTTGCAATAAACTAATTTGTCTTCTTGCTGTGCTAAATGCTGCTAGGAAAGAGTTTTTGTAAGAGGATCGATGTTGTTGAACCCTTTCATTGAGTACCGGTGATTTAGAAAGGAGATAGGCTACTGGATGTCGCCATTTTTCGACATACACGTTCCTCATTGGGGTCCGAAAAGTCCGTCTGTCCGAAATGGAGGGTCGTGCCACTGCAGTCGGATTCCTTTCGGACAGACGGACTTTTCTGACTCCATCAGGCCGTTCAAACAGATAGTATGGATCTCTTCTACATCTGTTTTGTCAATCACTGGTACTCATTGCCATAGCGTCTATGATCTTGTACCACTCTTTTCTAGCGGAATTTTGAAAGAGACAAATAAGATTGAATGTAATATGACTTTGATTGAGGAAACATCAGTCCATTCCAAATCGATCATCAGCCTAGTCAACTACTGCCAGAAGCAAGTGTTTGACACAGTACAGTACTTTGACCAAATGAAGACGGGTCTGTCTGTCTGTCCAAGAGTGAGTCATTGATCATCAGCCTAGTCAACTACTGCCAGAAGCAAGTGTTTGGCACAGTACTGTACTTTGACCAAATGAAGCAGAGAATGTCTGTCTGTCCAAGAGTGAGTCATTGATCATCAGCC